ACTGATTGAAGGAGTTAGGTGGGAGATTCTGCAGCAATAACAAAGGGCGATCATGAAAGTATCTCGATAAAAAGGAGGGTCTGGGCCCTTCTACATAAATCGTAGACCGCGTGACTTTTGCCGCATCCCATGGCATTCCAAATGCATTCCGTGGTTAACTGTATAGTTGTTTGACTAGATCCACTGGGGGTTATGTACTGTCCATAAAAAATATGCAGATGTTCTGGAATCACAATTCTGCACATACTCCGTTTTATATGAACATGAAAACACGATCGGCCCTTCAAGGGTTTTAAAGGCGGGCTTGGTAATAGTAAACAACCGTCTGCTGTTCAAGCCGATTTCGAGAAAGCTTGTACACCACCATGTAAACGAAGACGAAAGAAAGGACGATGAATGTCTCCAGATAAGAAGGACATACCCTCGTAGGTTCCATTCCCCAGAAATCAGACTGAGTTATGATGAGTAGGTAATATTAGAATGAAGATAATAGGCGACGGGCCCAGTTCCGTAGTTTCCGAAACCGTGTAAGAACGCCTCCTCAAGAGGCAGGTATTATTCGCTTTCCACCCATGGGTGTTATTTCAAGTCACCACGCAATCGGGTATTATGTACAGAGTGACGGCTGAATAATGGTCACACCCAAACACGCTCCTCCGATCGGATATCATCACTGGCGGAGAACATTGCGGATAGCAGTCTCAGCCCACAATTTCGTATACTGCTTATGCAGCCAGAGAATATGCGGCGGCATCGGCTGGTTGTCGGCCTTTCCTTTTCCTTGGTAGAAACAGCTCTTGAGAGCAAACTCCGCCACTCCTTCCTCGGGCTTAACGACGGCGGACATTTCGAAGAGACCGTCCGATTCACGGACGTCCTGTTTGCGGGGGCTGTCGCCGCAGCGGACCACGATCCGCTCGGGGGTCTTCTCGATAACCTCGAAGTGGTCGGTGATCAGGGTGCCGACATCGTAGGTGGAGGCCTTCAATTCTGAGCGTTCCCAGAGGTGGTTCGCGGTCTCGGGGCCTTGGTATTTCCGGGCGAGGTAGGCGCGTTGGAAGGCATAACCTAGTCACATCCGGCATGTTAATAACGATTCTCTCCGACCCGGCCGCCGGGGTTGGGTATGGCCGTTCATGGGGGGTGGAGGGTCCTGTCTTTACCCCAGCCGCTCCAGACTCCAGCACAGAAGGCTTCCGCGAGCTTGCCCTTCTTCTCTAACAAGGTTGGGTTAATGTCGGACAGGGGTACTTTGCGCACGCAGAGGTCGTGGGTGGTCGGATTTTGTTCGGGATTGAACTTGCGGTAGGCGGCGGATTGGAAGATGGGATCCGTGGACGACATCGGTACGAAGACGTCATTGCGCGTGGTGTAGAAGAAGGCGCCCGCCGAGGCAAGGCCTCCGTAGGTGGAGAGCTTCAGGAGTCGCTTGATGAGACCCATTGGGACGCGAGTGGCCTTTTCTGAATTGAATTGCGGAAGAAGAGAAGACAGAAGAAGCGCGAAGGGGAAATCAAGTGACGGTTCACGTTGATGACGATTGCGGACGAATCACCTCCGGTCGCCAAGACTGCGGAGTCAAAGCATTCGATTCATGTCAACAACAACAACAGTTGATTCTCTTCAATAAGCGATTCAATTGCCGACCGGCATCCCGATTATGGTATGGGATAAGCTCGACGGAGCTACGCTACATAGTGTCTAACTGCGATTGATATTTATGACGCTTCCATTAAATCGTTCATGCCATCACCACATATATATATTGTAGCACCTCGACGGCCTTGGCCGGGGTAACCTTAGTGCGCCTAAAAGCTCCTCTTTGATTGCCCAATCGAATTCTGTATCGGTTGGAGGCCGGGAATACTGCAAACAAGCCTGGATAACCCAGACATTTTTCCCCGTTCCACGCCATGGCCGTTGTATGTTGTGGCTTGGTATAGCTTGCTGCCCTTCCAGGGTAAGCATGTGGACAATGCCACCAAGCCCCGATCTGTCAGCAAGGCATTAAGGACTATAGACGGTACTTGCCATCTCGCCGGAGGAATGCCTTGTCAGTCATATCGCAGGTGAGCCGACCTACAGATAACTTGACGCGGGGATTTATGCAACCCATAATCTTTTGTCCAACGAAGGTGGATCCAAGCTGAGCCCAGAACGCGGCCTTTGAATTGACATGTAAGTTTGGGCCGCGACGGGTACCTTAACGCAACTCTGATTTAGTGCGGACGGCATTGAATGACTCTCGTTGGCTCATAAGCCACCAGAATTATTGTATCTTGGCAAGGGTTCAAGAAAACAACGGAGGTCTTGCATTTCGAGCGCCAGACCATGAGCAAGATTGTTGTCTCGTGTCCGATGATCCTTCTGGCCTGATCTCGCCTGAATTCGGGGTCCTAAAAGAGGCACGTGGGGTCAGATGAGCGGTCTCGTGTGATTGGTGGATGCTGTGTAAGGTTGCCTTGTCTGAAAAGGTACCCTTTGTTTGTCCTCCACATGCTGGAGGTACCTGGTGTGTACATCGAGATATCATTCAGATTGTCAGACCTCCAATCCCTGCTCAATCTTACCACTGGCCAAACTAACCAGGAGGTGCATTGTCAACATTCTTTGGAATATCATCCCCGCCTTCTCGAGGCATCAATCTACAACTCTCACCATTCAACCTCTCTGCCTTGTGACCTGTCGCCATAATCGGAATAACATGCCTCAGATTCCTGCTGAGGTCATTCTACAGATCATCGAATGTCTTGTTCCATCAGCTCATCCCGTCGTATTTCCACCAGCGCACCCTGTGACCCAAACATTGATCAGCCTCACTCTGGTATCCAGCCTCACACACCGCACAGCAAAGCGGCTTCTTCTCAAGCACTGCATATACCTCGACTCTGACAAACGGCTGGATCATGTTCTTCCACAGCTTCGCACGGACGATGCAATACAACAAGCGGATCCGATGGGACTCTTCTTGGCTCCATTCCCGGACAATAGCCTTGAGGAGCCCCAGGTGGTAAAGCAGGTTGACCAACTATCATCTCACGTCTGTGGTAATCTACGGCGTCTCGTGATTGATATTCCGCTGCGGTACCTCTATCCGGAAGAAGATGTACAAGGGTTACGAAAAATAATACGGGCATCCTTCGTCCGCCTAACGAAGCTGGAAGAGTTCTGTTCTGTTCAGGACGAGATGTATTGCGATACTACAGAGCACGGAGCTGAGCCACCCGTATGGTCATTATGGCCACGCCTTAAACACCTTGCGCTATATAACCAGAGCGTAGAAGGGCTTGGGTTCCTACAGGCCCTTCAACGGTGTCCAAACCTCACTCATCTCGTCCTCACACGGCCAGATGGTCTAACAGAGGCTATAGACCAGGGTATGGAGGGTCATAAGTGGTGGTCATTCTTGAAACGTGTTGTCATTATAAACACTGCAAGAGGCCATGAGATAGAGTTGAAAACGCGAGAACCTGACTGGTCGACGAGCTTTCTGGGGCACATGGTGCGTCTTCAACACTCCCCCCAGTCTGTATCCAATATTTTGCCCCACGACACAAATCCTTTCTTAGAATACATAACTGTGAATCTTCCACCTGGCAGAGAAGTAGACGACATCGACCTTTGTCAGGAGTTCGTCCAGCAGCATGCTGTCCAAGGGACACTGTGGAGCTACCCGGGAGCTCGCTATTCACTCGATCACTGAGGATCCAAATTATACGAACGAGAAGGGTCCTTTTATGAAAGTTGATGCCAAGGCCTACAACAAAAACACTGAGAATGTATCATTCATATACACTCAATGGTCTTAAACAACTATAAGTAGTCCAGGGTTACTCTTAGGACTATACGGTTCTAATTTCAAATGCCATCCACTCGTCAAGCCACAGTTGCGCTATTATGCATGACAACCCGTATTCGTAAGAAGTACTTTGGCGCAACACGAATATTGTTACAGAGTACAGAGTATACTCAATATTTTTCTGACAACGATCATCGCCGTAGTCCGAAAACCGTGGCTGCACAGCCGACTTATTTACGGTTAGAAGAGAATATCTTATCCAATTCAAGCCACTCCGACAGTAAGTCCGCTCCAATCAACGGATTTATTTGTCCTCATCACGCCGATGTGTAAGCCCTACTGGATACTAAACTCCTTTAACCATTATTAGAGTTAGGCTGTTTTAGCTACTAGATACGTTAGGTTGCCTGCGGGGTACCACCAGTATACCTATGCTGTCGCCTTTCAACACTCGCTTTCTTTTAAATTAGTGGAAATAGAGACATCAAGGCTACTCACTGTTTAGGTTGCTTCCAGTCTCTACAGAAAAACACTTAAGCGTAAATCATTTAGGCATGTGCTAAGGATATACCAGAACGTTATATCCACTATTTATGGCGTAGCGCTGATCGTGATTGGAAAAATACCGAATGCAACCATGCTATATATTAGTCAAGGCGACAGGGAGTTGGAGGCCTTCCCCATTTTTATGCGCGTACAGGCATTGCCTGGCAATCTCTGACCAGGCTGACCTTTTTTCTAACCACAGAAAGCTGTATTCCCCTCGTTTGAACGGTCTACTATGAGTCAATTGAATGAACAGCCGCTGTCCCACACAGCATTTAGACGGAGTCTGCAGGGTCAGGATGTTACTATTCCTAACATCTATAACCTATTCCCTGAATGGGGGCCGAAGATACATCCCTAATATCAAAGAGCAAGAAATGAGATTATAAACCCTTGGATTAGCCGGTCAGTGCCTCAATCATACAGAAATCCGGGAGGACTAGACGTTGAACTGGAATAACAGCTGGGTGGATGATGGAAGGATCAGCTGTAAACTTCAGAAGGCTGAGTTTGGTCTCTTCGCTGCCATATTATGTGCAGAAGCTTCATTTGAGAAGCTTTGTACCGTAGCAAAATCCTTTGCATGGGTGAGTTGGCCAGTGTTTCGCTTTGTCGGATTCATAATCTTACTGCTGACACTGAGGCTTATACAATGATGCAGTACTTCATCTGGGATGACAGTAAGTCCAACGTACTGTGTCTTACTTAAATACCCCAATCATATTCACCAACATCCTCTGGAAAGTCTTCGATTGCGGCGCCTTGAAATACAATTCTGAGGGCGCAAAATGCTACCGGCGAGCAAGCATAAAATATTTTGAACACCAACTCCTAGACAGAGACCCGCCTGACCTGTCCCCGTTTACGCTTGAATTGCAGAAAGCTTTACTATGCTGGGATGAAGTAGGTTCACACATCCGTGAAGCTTGTTCAGAAGGTATGGCACACGTCCATTCCTCGAGGTTGCCTGATCATGCTTAAAAGGTATATCAGAAACTCGTGCGATTCTTCTGGACCGCATGGTTGAGTACGTTGCAAGCGTGGATAATGTCGACAGTCTGTACAAGAATGGCACAAGGATTCCTACCCTCCAGGAATATTGGGAGCGCCGAGAGTGTACGGCGGGTGTTTACCCGGTCATTGCCACAATCCCGTATGTGTCTCTTTGGAGTTTGGGTGGCTTCTTCTAACTACTGCAGATTCGCCTACGGCCTCAATATTACTATAACCGACGTTGAGAATCCTTACATGAAGAAGCTGTGGAGACACACCTCTTATCTGGTCCACATGTATGTTCTTCCTGATAGGAGAGGATTGTCTCTAGGCTAACATCTCGGCCCTCATAGAACAAATGATATGTTCTCCATGCGAAAAGAGATTGTATACCATCGTCTGCCTAGAAGGTTCTAAGCGGTAGCTGATAGGTCAACCAGAATGACATGCAGATCGAAAACCTCATCCCGATATTGATGCTAAATAAAGGGATCCAATGCCACGACGCAATGCAAGTGGGTTACGCATTCGCAATGGAAGAAGCCTCAAAGTTCCAACAGGTAGAGAACATACTTTTACTACAGCCGGGTACAACCTCAGAGGTTATTTCAGATGCTTTTGTGAGGGGATGCAAAGACGTCGTGATGGGGCTCGTCCACTGGAGGTATTACTTACTGGATTATTTTAATACTAAGGGATCCAGTGCTGACACTAAGCTTCAGTTATTCCGGCACACGATACTTCCAAGAGACTGAGATTGGTGAAGACCATGTTATTCGGTTCCAAATTGATAGTTCCCCAAGGGATACCAAGGAAACAAAGTTGAAGGCGACCCGGTAGGCTTGACCGAGGTTCTCAATCTCTGGCTTGTTGGTAACAACTACTCCCGCGATTCGGTTACTCTCCAGCCTTTTGGGTACCATTAAGAGCAAATGGGGAAAAGGGATGAAAAACGAAGGAGCAGATGTAACCCGGGATGTAACTAGGTCTGCTCAATAATAGACGATAGACACAGAGTGACTTATACCGCTAACATGTTTGCTTTCTTTTCCTATACGTAGTATAGCGGTTCGCTTCAGTACCCCGAGAAGGAAAGGCATGTTTGGACGTAAGCTCCGGAGTAGCCGAAGAATAACGCCTTAGTACCATGGTTTCTATCAGACTTGACGCCATAGCCTACAATAAATACTTGGATACCAGCCATGGATATTTTCTCGAGGAATAAATATATTCGTGCCAAAGCTCATCTTAAAAAGCGATTACCAGCTGTATTGTTTCAGACAAGATAGCCCAATAGCTAAGAGACTAGTAAGCATATGTTGAATATGCTCCACCATCCATATCCATTGCAGTTTCTAAGCCTACTACTGACCCCCCCTCCTCTTTATTTAAAACACTCCCCATTCTCGAAAGACACCTTCACTCACAGACTTTAAACGGAGAAATATTATCCTGGTCGTGAATGACTATTCCTGGGGGCCCCTATATCACTTCTACTACGTTGGGAACCATGACCCCGGGAGTTTGAGCGCTGGGTCAGGACTCAGAATTGAACATATTCACTGGGATGATATATATCGTAGGTATATCCACCAGATAGCAGTTGGTCAGAAATGGCGGAAACTTGCTAAACGCTATTGGCACGGTATTATTGTCTTCCACGGAGTGTCTTTCAGTCATCTTCCAGTAGAGGTGTATACATCAACGTTCAGAGTACTGAACCTCTTAACTTCTATGCAATTATGCACGGTCTTGGCAGGGTCCACCAGATGTGAATTTGCGGGGTTTGGCGGCGACTTCCGAACGCTTCGTACTGGACGAAATCAGTCCCTGATATTTCTATTACTAACTCATCCACTCCAACTTGGGGATTTAAAACCCTTCAATCATCCTCTTTCCGGCTTCTTTGCAGTTTGCGTTTATGTCATAAGTCGATATTTCTGCGGAGTATATACATCGCCTTAACTTCGCTTCCGGTATTAAAGGATATTTGGTGATCGTTTAGGTACTACAGATATGTACTTCCGTACAATTCAACAGCTAACAGTTGCAGGCTGAAACTGAACTCCTGAAGAAGGAACTCTATCACGTCTATATTGCATACCCATCCTCACAGAGTCCCGAAAGAGAGCAATATGGTCTCCGCCTCAGACATCGACTATCTGCGCCGCTGCGTAGAGCTAGCCCGTGAAGCCCTTGAAGCGGGTGATGCCCCATTTGGGTCCGTGCTAGTGGATGCCGCCGGCAAGGTTCTCAAAGAGGATCGCAATCGCGCCGTGACTGAGTCTGATGTCACCTGGCATCCGGAGTTCACGCTCGTTCAGTGGGCCCAGAAGAACCTGTCTCCGGCGGAGCGCGCGGCTGCCACGGTCTACACGTCTGGCGAGCACTGCCCGATGTGCACGTCCGCTCATGCGAACGCCGGCTTGGGGCGAATCGTGTACGCTAGCTCCACTGCTCAACTTGTGCGCTGGAGGGCGGAGCTCGGTATCAAGGCTGGCCCGGTTGCCCCGCTGTCCATCAATCAGGTGGCACCGGATCTAGTTGTTGATGGCCCGGCTCCGGGGTTGGATGAGGAGGTTCGTGGGTTGCATCAGGAAAAGCAGGCTAGAACTGTATCATAGGGCCTGGACTAGCGTATAATAGTAACAGCCACTATCCCGCGAGTTGATTTGTTCACTTGCATTCATGGAAGATCATGATGTATTTCCTAATTCCAATTCGAGTCTACAACACTGCTGTAGTTAAACACATCGTTCATTGTGGAATAGTCATTTCCATTTTGGTATGCTTGCCAGCCATGCTCTAAAACCAGCATTCGGGATACCCGCTGGGGTTAAGTTAGGTGCAGTGTGGCGTTATATACAATGGCCACAAGGCGTATTTCAAGCATTGTATCATGTGTTATTACTATAGCACATATCTCATGGCTCGTTGCTTGAATTCCCCAGGCACTTCAACAGTTGCTGTTCGCTTGGGGTAGGGCCAGAGAGATGTTTGACAATAGTAATAATTCTACCCGATAGATTTGGGCTTTTCTTAAGGCTCCAGCGGCCATAGTTGCGCTTAATCTTTGTCTGAAACTAATATAGCTATAGCGTTGCATGGTACCACATATCTGCGATAAATGCGCTGGTACGGGGTTCTATTCTTCGCCGCTAGTGTCATTCCCTGGCCGTATGCTCACAGAAGGTAGAGCTCCATGGCCCTCTGTAGATACCTATCGTTGAAGGAACATATTCAGTGACGTCCGTGAATACGCTCGTAATATCCGAAAAGATGTTCACATACTCCGTACTAAAGACCAGGTCCCCAGCAAGCGCCAAGACGAGCGATTCTATTGGCCCTAACCCCTGTCAGTAATACCAGTAGCGCTGGGATTATCATTGTTCTTATGCAACAAGCTGCGCCGTAATGTTGCCGCTGAGAGATTCTTTCTCTAATGCACGTTAGGGGTTTGCTGACCTGAAACAATGTCACGTTAGCTAAACATGAACAAAATTCCGTTCCACTGCCTAAGCGCTACAATCAAACCTACCCTCTCCCATACATGAGTTCAAAACATTGCGAAAGCAAGCAATGTTCTTAGCGACGCGCCAGCTGTTTCTTCTGGGAACAGCTGTGAGTCTTCTGCTACTACTGTGGTACACGCAGAGAATCTTTGTATCACGCGACCGAGAGACTTGGACGGTTTGGCGGCCAGCCACAGCCCTGACACCAACACCGACACCAACACCGACACCAACAACAACGCCGGTTGAGCTAGTCCCAACTATCCCCAAGTCTTCCGTACAGAGTGCAGGCAATAGCACACTAGGTGTAAGTGCCCTGCCTCCAGGGACATTCTTCAGTCACAATGTGTTGATCGCAAACAGTTTCAATCCATCCTCACACTTTCCACCGGCCCTTCATGGCGCACGAGAGGATTACTAGCCGCAGCAAATCTGACGGGATTGGATATTCAGATTCCACCGCAGCCGCCAATCAACCCCAATCTCGTCGATGCGTTCGAGCACTTGGGGCCTGACGATGTCCAACACCCAAGCCATGGTGCAAGTATCGCCTGGCTGGCGCATCTTGATTTGATTAAACACACCATCCAAGCGAACCTAGATACAGTCCTCATCATCGAAGACGACGTCGACTGGGATGTGTCCATCCGGTCGCAGATGGTCCAAATTGCGGAAAGTGTACGCAACCTAACCCATGTCGATGATCTTGACCAGGATCCCGCACCGTACGGCCGGGACTGGGAAGTCCTCTGGATCGGCCATTGCGGTGAGTACTGGGAAGAGCAGTTCGAAACGATTCTATATGACGATCCCACTGCTTGTCCCCACAGCGACTATTTCGGCTGGGCAAAGCAGTACATCGACCGTTTGCCGGACCGTCAACGCGCCGTCTACCGGTCATTTAATCCTGTGTGTTCATTTGCATATGCCTTGTCCCGAGAGGGCTCTCGGAAGGTATTAGAACTGTTGGGTGGGGCACAAGACGAGGCCTTCGATGTGAGTATGATGCATGCTTGTAAGGCGGGTCATCTCAGGTGTATCTCCGTTGTGCCCGAGGTTGTGCATCAGTATTTTCCAGCCCAGTCATTTGGTGTGAAAAGTGCTGTTGATATCGGCAATGGTCAAGAGCCTGGTCCGGAGGAAGCAGAATTTGAACATGTAATGGGGTCGACGGAGAATATTCTTGACAGTGCACGGTGTCGTGCATTATGGGGCCAGCCATGCTTGAGGAAGGAGTGATTTCGATAATATTTTTATCATGTAGTATAATACAAGATTGTGTGATACCCTCAGGTACAATTGGCGGGCAAGCGTCGAGGTGGGTAACTTCTTTCATATAAATTCAACCCCGCATTTGCTGGATAGCCGAGCCGAAAAGCAACTTCACCATCATTTAATATCGGATAAACCGAACATCAACACACATTCTCTACGAAAATACCAAAAGGACAAGACATATACAAGATGTCCAATGCACCGAATACTGCCGGTAATGAAAGATTTAATGCCGAAGCGGCAAACTGGGACAATAACCCCTCTGTCCAAGAGGCGACTCGTCTCGCATACGAGACACTCCGACCCCTCATTGAGAATCTTTCGGGGAAGAAGCAAGATGCGACAGGAACTGGCTTAGATGTCCTCGAAGTGGGCTGTGGAACAGGCCTGTTGAGTGTGCGGGTGGCACCGCTGGTCCGCGAGATTGTCGCCGTTGATACGGCAGAGGGCATGATCGAAATGCTGAAGACGAAGACGACCCAGCCTGACTCTCCGCGAAATATTGTACCCATTTGCAAGTTGCTAGAGGACCCCGAAGATCCCGTTCTTCCTCCCAGTGATGAGAACCAGCCCGCCGCAGGTCGGAGAAAGTTCGATCTGGCCTTGTCGCATCTGGTACTGCATCATATTCCCGATCTTCGACCTTTTCTCCACATGCTCCTGGGCAGCCTCAAGCCTGGCGGAAGGATAGCTCTGACAGATTTTGAGGACTTTGGTCCCGAGGCAATCAAGTTTCACCCCAAGTCGAAGCTGGAGGGTGTGGAACGGCACGGCATCCCGCGTCAGTGGATCGAAGACCTGTTGAAGGAGGTTGGCTTCGAGCAAGTCAAGGTATGGGTCGGGTGGACGCTGGATAAGGATGTCGAGGGGTGGGATGACGACAATGGAAGCTACGCTGGTGACAAGAAGACCATGCAATTTCCCTTTCTCGTGTGCGAAGGAGTGCGTCCATGATATGGCCCAGTCTGGCTACCGATTGTATCAAACTGGAATGAACTACGCTGTGACTTGAAGCCGTTCGTTTATAAAGCATGTACCATAGTGGAGTTGAATATCCTACGATCCATGCAATACACGTGCAGGTCCTGGCCGATGCCAGCGTGCTTTAATGCTCTTGAAATGATATGCCCAACTAAGCTGGAGTTCCTTATATTGATTGTTTTTATCTATGGTCGGTAGCACTGGAGAGAGTCTTATATCTCTACAGAAAAGTTGAGGTCCTCGTATGACCTGAACCATTCATCATATCGGCCAAGCATGATTTCTAATCGCCGAATTGTGGAGACGACAGAGGTCTGTGCTTTGGTCGCCAGGATTGCTATTCGTGAATTTCTGTACTGTGGAAGAGAACTGTTTCCAATTAGGTGTAAGACCCCGCCTGGAACATATACCACAGCCAATACTGCTGTATTATGTTGAGCTAGAGGATGTCAGCAGCTCGAACCTACACTAAAGTGTCGGCAACTTGATCACGCTAAACTAAATCTAGTAACCTGAGGAGAATAGGATTGACAAGACTGTTCAAATTGGCAATTGGCTTTTTGAAAGGTTGATTAATTGAATACTCAGTACTCCCGCTCGCAGCCTATTGGAACCTCTCAGTTCAGACATAGATACTCTGTAGTCAGTAGTCAAGCAAGCATGGCTCTTCAAGTTGAAACACGACTTTCCCTCACCAAATCTAGACGTTGGCCATATCCGGTTAGCCTGTCTACGGTCTAGTACAGAGATAAGTGGGCCCGGTATTTGGATCCACGTCAAGCAAACGCCGAATAACTCAAATGTGAACGATCCGAGGCTTTCCTCTCGGTGATTGCTAGAACCGTAGATATCCGGTTATTAGTAGAAGTAATAATGCTTGACGTCGTCCTGGGGTAGTAAGGACATAAATACACCTCGTTGGTCTGTCAGTATCCGAGAATTTCTCTATCCCATCCATATCGATCTAGATCGGAATCTATCATTCATCCTCACCCCAAACAACCGACAGAATGACTCTCGAAGGAAGCTGCATGTGCGGTGCTATTGCATACGCCTCTGACTGTATGTCTAGTACATGGTACATATTAACCCCGCTACCGCGAATACTTTACTAATATCATTCGAAATTTAGCCGAGCCTCTTGTGAAGCTTTATGCCACTGTGTTGATTGCCAGAAGGTATGTAGCAGGTCTGTAGCACAAGACTTCGCACTCATAGCTAGTCTTCCACATCCTTGATTCACGTAGATGAAGCATAAGAATAACCGTTATATCTAGTGGACCGGTGGCGCATTCACGTCCAACGTAATCGTGCCCCGGGATTCTTTCAAAGTGACAAAAGGTACCTACCCACCCTATCGTTGCTTTACCCCATACATCCTTCTCTTCTCATATTCGATCATTGTGGCTGAGAATTGCTGCAGGAGAACCCTCGTTCTATGACATCACTGGAGCCTCGGGCAAGAACAATCGCCATTTCTTCTGCGGCAAGTGTGGGTCGAGTCTGTACACAGAATTAGATCTCATGGCCGACAAGACCGTCATTAAAGCCGGTACCCTGGATGGTGGCGAGGCAAACTTGCGGAACAAGGTCGATGTCGAATTCTATACTAAAGACCGGGCGTCGTATCTGTGTGCTGTGCAGGGCGCCAAGCAAGAGCCACTTCTGGGCTGACTTACCTGACGCAGCTGCCTCGGAGGCACGGCAATAAGAAGGTAAATGGAAGACACTCCTGCATGATGATCACGGCCGTTGGGATGAGTAGGATTTTGACATTTGGTGGCAATTTATATCTGACTATGTCATGTAGTAGTATGCAGGGTGTTGGTGGGGTTGCAGTGTTCCGGATACCATGAACTGAGAAAGCGGTTTAACAGAAAATATGAGATTCCACATAATGTCAGTGATCAGCAACATTTTCCCTAAAAATTTATAAATAAATATTTGGGGGCCTATTGTAAATCTAAGGGTTAGGCTTGGGCCCGGTAGTCAGGGCCCTGAAGAATACTAGTTAAGATTGATTAGATGATAACGCCGTGCTGGTGTTTATTAGAACTGACCAAGCTATACCAAGCGAAGGATATCAACCAATTCGTGTCCCCAGATCGCATAATAGTACCCAAATTCCCCTCCGTCCTTTGCACCTACTGATCTGTTTTCAAACCCTCCGCCCAAACCCCAAGTAGTCCGTCAAGGTCCATGAAATTTTATCTACAGTGTATTTTCTGTAGGGGAACCGGTAAACAGCATCTTATCCGGATATCCCATCCCCATAGCATACCAAACATCTCATCTCCAAACTTTCTCGTGCCGCCTGTACCTCGCTCGTGTGCGGGTCAATGAATGCCGCGTGGGGTGTTCTTCTCGCCGTCTTGCCGTCATCTTTTGAGTCAAATATTTTGAATAATAAGATGTCGTACTGGGTCATATCCGACATGTAGTACCATTTATGGCCCGGTCCATACTTCCCAAACAGTGTTCCACTACCCTGTCGGGAGGACTTAGGATTATATAAGGTGCCTTGGAAGTTTTGTGGTCTCCCAACATGAACCTCGAAAAGATCCTCGTCAGGAACAGATCGGGCATCTGCTACTGCGAGAGGGTCGCATGGGACGGGCTTCAATGGACGCCAGACGTTGATGATGGCCCAGCGGCCTTGCAGAACCCGCTCGACCTGGTCGGGTGCCATGTTGTCTTGTAATATTTGGTACGCGCCCGCCTCGCTTTCGTCGACGTGCACTCTCCGGGCCGGCGTGTTAAACGGAACTACCGATGAATCGGGTTCGGAGGAAACGATCCTTTTGGATAATTCTTTGTCCGTCTGATTGCGGATCCAACTCGAGAATACTCGCACGCTGGTTGCGCCCGTCCTAAGTGAGGATGAATATGTAAGGAGTTTACACTCACGGAAACACTTCCCCGGAGAACAATCATTGTCGACGACTTACAATCGTTGAAGAATTTCCACCGATTCCTGCTCCACGGTGCTTAGGTCTTCGTTTCGAAAAGACGCGAAACAGGGACTTTCGTGCCGTAGAAACTGAAACCCATGCACGTCCAGACGGAATTCTTCTTTTCTCTCGCGCACATCTTCGATTTGCACAGGTTGGCGGTCGGGAGCTATCCGACAGAATTCAAGTGTTCCCGCAGTAATTCCCTCACTGGGGAAGGCGGACGAATGGTGGTAATCAAGGAAAGTCTGGATCATTTGAGGCCGCATGATGGTCCGACTGTTGATTGGGGAAGCGAGAAGGTTCAAAGAGCCTTGGACGTATCGAACGTGTCTTGTTGACCTGCGAGTAATTGACCCGGGGCAATGAGATCTTTAATAACGCCATGGGAGGTATAGAAAAAGCAGACAGAGTGGAGACGACATATGAGGCATCGAAATCGATGAATGAGGAGTCCTCGTCACACCGCTATGCTTCCAATTCCTTTGAAAATAGGTAAATTGCTCGGACATTATCTATGCTGACGCAGGTAATGTACGGTGATGGATATTATTAGTCGATCTTGAAGTGAGATTAATAATTATCCCGTCGTGTTAAGTATAAGCTCACAGTATATAGTAATGTTAGGCTTTATAACTTGAGATTTAAACTAGCGCCACGCCAAGTAAAGAGTAATTCATATCATTCTGGGCCCCAGATTCACTACCCTTCCAGGTATCTCTCCAATTGCTCCACCCTTGCTATCTGCTCCTGCCTTTTCAATCTCTGTCGACCGTCGCCGTTCAAGCAGTTCTTTCGCACGCGGAAGATCTCTGATCCTGGAAAATGGCATCCATAAACATCGCCAGCGCACCTGGTAGAGGATTTGTCCATCGTGTTCGAGAGTCTCCAGGGGAGTATTGATTTGTTTCCACAAGGTTGCATTGCAATCTGCCTGATGACGACGATTTTCGGGATGAACCTCCCCGCCGCTCTTCCTGTGCAGTCCCATGCAGTCCTTCATCTCCCACTATGGATCAGGGTGCTGCACTTGTTGCGGTGGAACGTGCGCGTGGTTGATGCATCCATCCAACCAATGTATTCAGCGGCCACCCTACCGCCAATCTGTACGCCATCGCGGAATACACGGCCGATATGAATCCTATGATCCGTCAAGATTCCGCACCGAATTGGGCCTGAAATGAACCAGAACAAAGTGGAAAGTTCCACAGCAAGCAACATCACCGATAATATCTCGGTTGTCTGCTATTACACACATGATACATTCTGAATACATTATTGACCGCGAGACTTGACTATACCGTGGCAAGGCGGCGCCCGCACGGCTGATCTTGAGCACTATTCCATGCCATTGTGATCTGCAAGATGACACAGCCTCTCTTTCCCTCTCTGGTGTTGCCACGTTCCGGTTCTTGATCCCAATTTGGTGTATCGTTGATTGTCACCAGGGACGGTGTAAGGACGGCTGCGGGATCTGAGTCAGTGAATCACCATGTGTAGCTGAGCGAGCCCGACTATTCCCCCGATTGCATATGGAATAATAGTTCCGGGGCGAGCGGAACTAAATGGGGTTGGTTGTTGTTGTTGCTATTTGAACACGTATCTCTCACCAGCAAGGGGACTTAATGCATTTGTGGGTTTTCAATGAGGAAAGATCACCCTTGGAGCCCAAATCATATGCAACCATAGCCCCACCTCACCTTCTCAAGGTGGGAGAATTAAGCTATATAGTGTGATATAGACCCCAGCAGCAACGCGGGATTGGCTTTCCCCAACTTTAAAGCCAATATACTGGCCGTAATTTAACGTAGCGACAAACCCTGTTACCCATCACTACCATACCACTCCAGTAGGCACCTAACTAGGTCCCTCTGTTGAGTCTCTCTGCATGCTGTACCTATTACATCCGTGTTGCTTTGGGCTTTAACCTCAGCTGAAGATCTCCTCATGATAGCCGAGCAAAACCAACAAGAACAATCCCAACCACCGCAAGTATCGCCGCCCAACGTATCAACGCCCGTCGAATGTGGTACCTCGCCGTGCGTTCAATGCCCGCCGAATCATTCTCATGCGGGAAGGGTATATCCTTCGGAACATCCTTCCCCAATGCCTTACACAGCGGTTCCCAGCCCTCCCTCACGTCAAAGAACACCAGCCGATCGGCGGGCACATTTTCCTGCAGCCAAACCAGATGCCTGGCGTAGACCTCACGACGGGGCAGGGTGGCGGCAACTTCGTTAACCGAACTCAGAGGCCGATTATCCAGATACAGCCTGCTCCACAGGCGCCGCAGCAGCCAAGTAAAGTCTACAAAATGTCGCATGCCGGGTAACGGAAAGAGCAGAGCTTTGAGAAACCACGCAGCCGCGGCGCTATGGACGTGTTCCATACTCTTCTCCCACGCGACCGGGTCGCGCACTGTACAGACGACCTTGGCATCCGGGTAGAGCTCCAGCAGCTCTGGGACGAGATTACAAGATGGGGCGTCAGTGACGGCAGCATAGCCAGCCAAGCACGATCTAAGTGTGGATAAGACGGTGTGACGATCACCGGCCAACCATGCACGGAGGATACGGACCCAGGATTTCAGTTCGGATGGTGGGCCACGATTGAGTTGGGTGCCACAGTGGTAAACGGGCCCGTCGAGGAGGATAGCTAACGCTATGCTGAAGGATGTAGTGCCCGTGCGAGGCAACCCAGCACCGATGACTTGGATCTGGGTTCCGGGTTTCGGAACCGAAGCGGTTTGGCCCATGGTTACTTCCGGTAGGGAGGGGTAAGGACAATCCAATAGACGAATAGAGATACTTCTGTTGATGTTGGAAATCTGACCCGTGGTCCTTGCGGTGTAAGCGATGATGGTCGATCGTATTTATACAATTCGGTTGGATCACAATGCAAGGGTTAGTTGGTGGCGGCGAGGTCCATCGCAAACAATGGGAATGGTTTCTTTTATCCTCACTGGGGGTCATCGGTGCAGGAATGCGGTGTATATCCTCCCCTGGATCCACATTCCGAACAATTGACATCACCAGAGACCCCAATGGCGCGTCTTTAACTCTCAACCTGCCAGTCTGTTGGCTTCATACGGTAGGACAGAAAGTCACAACGACGCTGTGGAACAGGTTCGTCGGAGTCATCATCATTGGCCGTGTGACAGCATGTTCGGGTATGACAATTGTAACTCTCAATTTAGCCTTCTTGTGCGGGATCGTATTCCAATCACCTCGTCGAGTGGATAGCGAGCTGAACCCGATTTTGATTGATGAGACGATGGCTGACGGCGCTTGCCGCAATTCTGCCGGTCTTCGTATTACATACGGTCCACAGCAAACCATTCAGCGTGGGGGGAGGTTCAATATTGTCTTGGCTGTTCACTGTCTGAATTATACCGCAAAAATGGAGAGATTTCACGTAGAGGGTGAATTACAACAGAGCACCGGTAGCGGAGTGGAGCAAATATTAGAAGTCGAGATGGGGATCTGCACGGAGTTCAACCGAGTCTCGCAGCTAGGGCTTCAAAGGATGCATGGCCAACCAATATTACCCGCTAGATAATGCTCCTTTACGCATACAGCTCATTTGATCGGCAGAGTAACCATAGAATATGAATAAAATGCGAGCTATGGTGTCCTACGACATGATCTATCAGAAACTTTCTATAACCCTCTATACACCGCGCCAAATTTAGGGTCAAGGGTGAGTTGTTGCGGTCCCCGCTAATGGGTCCACATGGGATGCATAGGGGGGAGCGGACGCCCTTTCCAGGCAATGCACCCCTACCCTCGAACAACAGACAAGGTTTTCGATCGAAATGGACCCAGAATCTTTGTTAGTTACAGATCAGCAAAATATCCAGATCCTCAGCCTCTTGTGATACCCAGCCCTATGGTCCGACAGGATAGCATCAAACCAGGAGATCCCTCGGGAATAATAGTATATTCCTATCTCAAAAACGGGTTCGTAAGGACATAGTACCAAGTGACAAGGCATGGAGAGATCAACGCACAAGAAAAGACTGATATCAAATAGGTATTCTGCTAGATGGTGCCTGATCTCACAAGTTGTTCCCCCCAGTAGAGGTCCGTATGGCATCGGTACCGTCATATACGGACCTGCCGTTTTTTGCTCCATGGAACGCCCTCTAGCGCTTCATAACTGTTGGATACGGGCTGAGCTTTGTTCCACAGACCAATGTGACATGTTATAGATCAAAGCTTAAATCGTGCGGTTTTTCCTTGTCACGCGTAATTGAACGCCGCTGTCAATACTCCTGGAAGCCGGCAATCATGTGAAAAGACAAGTTCTTGATGGGCAAGATGATGCGATATTTCCCAGTGTCAGCTCACTCTATATAGAAAATGGAGCATACCAGCGGAAACGCGAACCTCAGGGTGTACTTGGGTAGGGTGCTGCCAACACCGTCAATTGGTATATGTAGTCTACTTCCATTAGCTTAGTCATGATGCACGATTTCGCTGTCAACTTTTTATCATTTTGATTGCTAAGATGGACGTGTGTATACACGGTAAGATGCGCCACTTCGGAAGGGCAAGATTAGCACACATTCAGTTTGTAGGTGAAAATCCAAGAGCCATCCTCCGAGTTCTCAATGAAGGTACATGTCAGATGCCAGGTCAAATTTGTCAGGCATTCCCGCGTACTAGTCCTCACGAATACCTACGACTTTCACTTTAACAGTCCAGGGTCCATCCTTAGCCCGAGGCAGAAGTTTATCTCGCACGAACCGAATATTCTCTGTGGTGGTCTGGTATAGCTCCAAGTCAAATCGACGAATGACAGCTGCGAGTGTGTTGTATAGTTCCGCATAGGCCAGGCTTTAAGGCGTGGAATTAGTACAGCAAAATGCTTTATAGAGCGAAATGCACTCACTTCATTCCTATACAGCCCCGGCCCCCTTTGCTGAATGTAAGAAGGAATCTTGAAAGACCCTCGTCACGCCCAGCCGTGTGCATCCAGCGCTCAGGATTAAATGTTTTGGGCTCTGGAAAGATGGTGGGATCCATATGCACGAAGTGTGAAATCATACTGACCGGTGTCTACATGCGCTGGTCAGTTATGTCAAGTAATTCAAACACTTATAAAGGGATAATGTACCCCCGGTGGCACGGCAACATCCTTATATTTTATGACATCTCTCGGTGAAATCCTTTGCTGTCGCATCATGAGCCCCGAAAAACGCAGGGCTTCTTGAATGACTGCTGTCTGTAAAATGAACGGTCAGGGCCCCAAACCAGCCATAATGAACAAATATCACACGTACCAAGTACGGCAGTTTCTCTAGTTCTCGCCATGTTGTCGGATGGTGAGCAGTTGGCATAGCCTGGTCCAGCTCTTCGCGAAGTTTAGAGTGAACGCTCTTATCATTCAGGATATAAAACAACGCAATAGATAAGGTGGTAGCTGTGGTCTCTGTACCGGCAGCAAATAGAACCAGTCCCTCGTCCTCGAGACGTTGTAAGCTCCTTTCCTCAAGGGGGACCTCTGGGGCTGTGAGAGCATGGAACATGGTCATTTTCTCAGGAGGATTGCCAGATTCCTTCTGCTGGAGCGCAAGGATTGACTGTTTCCGTACGCCATCCAACAGTTGATAGACTGCGGCACGGGCTGGAAATATCTTACGCATACACCATGCAGGTATGCATCGCAAAGCTTGGGAAAAGAGGGGGAAAAATCTAAAGAAATGGATTTGGTCCGTCCCTTCCTGAACAACCTTGACAATACCTTTGCCATAATTCTCAGGGTCCTGCAGTCCATAGTTCTCTCCATACGCATATTCCGTTATCACATCGCCTGTCAATCCCTGTAGTCGGTCGATCAACTCGACTACACTGCCTTCCTTATAAGCTGTAGTAAGACCATCGAGGAACCTTGATAAGGACTCATGAATCACCGGCTCAATCCGCTCAATCGATCGCCTTGAAAAAAAGGAATTCAGCAGCTTCCGGCGCATGCGATGCGTGTGATGTCCAACTGTTGCAACCAGAGCAGTCGGTGAACTGAAGATCACGACTGATTTTGCGTCTTTGTCTCGCATCCCGTTGGCCGGAGCATACAGCTCATCGTAGAAATATGGGTCTTTAATGTGGACTTCGCGGGGGTTGATCCTCACAATGGGCCCTTCGAGATAGTTAGCACATCGTTGGGTAATTGATTTTGAGCAGTACCATATTTTTCGTGCATCTTCTCAATCTCCCAGACGTATAACCCGCCCCGGATCACATCATGATAGAACTCGTAGGCATGGGAAATTGCCGCTAACTTCGGACCTGGTATATGATGGAGGGGGTCAAAATACAAGCGGTATATACTGCGTAAAATCAAACTGAATATGATCAGCTGTACAGTGGATATCGCGAATTGCTCCTTGAACGATGCCCAAATCATGTCGGGAGAAAGGAGCCCCATGATGGCGACAGTGAATGAGGTTTCTCTGAGGATAAAGACCGGGATGCGAATGAGGAACGAGGAAGACTATATTAAGGCTACTCGCAGTCAATTCTCGCGAGATTCGATCGGCTGCATGGTTCTTCATGCATGTAGGCCTTCGGACACAGCTGGAAAGATATCGAAGGCAAAGCTCATCTCCAACGATAAGGGCAGCTGGCGCGCCGTCAGGCAATTTACTATGATGTCTAAGTCACTTTTCCTTTTCCTTTTTTTGTTTTTTTT